TTATGTGAAGCTTTTATTTTTCTACGGAGAAAAATCTTGGAGCAATGTTTCCAGCACCTTGTTGAATCTACACTTAAATTTATGCCATGAAGAAGTAATGCAGTCACTGCTAGAGTCTGTGCATTTGATTTGGAATTATGGATTTGCTAAGAAGTTGAAAGTCAAAAGTCTAAAAAAACAACTTCTGTTTACAGGATTACTAAAGACGTTTTAATTATAAAAGGTTGACTTTTGCATTTCCTCCTCCAACTTTTTCTTGGCATGTCTCACTGCCCGCATTCACTTCTTAACGGAATGATGGCCAAAAGCCTGACATTAAAATCCAAGTTCCAGAGTGAAATTATCATTAAAATGTCAATTTTAGTTGACAGTTGCACTTTTAATTAATTAGTACTTATTTCATGACAAGTGGCTTTAACGGAGGATTACAGACATAAGTCTTAAACCTCAGAAATAAAAACTTTTAATGGTTGTAAAGCCTGTAGTTAATAAAAGCTTTAGATATGTTTATGGTCTCGACATGACGTATGTATATAAATACCCCAGATGTGAATTTTGAAGCTATTATTCCTAAGACGATTTGCTAATCATACCTTATTTTCTGCAGTAAAAATAAAAACACCTGTAAAAAGAAATCCCATTAAAATTTTGTCAATGGAAGCTGAACAATGCTAACTTACTGAAGAACAATAATCCTTGCTGCATTATATTTACTATTTTTTAGCATAGAATCACATTTATCTTCTCTTAATGTATGAACCCCACTACACTTGTGTATGAAACCTCATTATCGGTTATAAAAGGGTATGAAACCTCAAGCTGATTGCTGCACAGCACCTAACAGCTTGAGGTTGTGGTTTTGAAGTGTACAAATGGGAGAGAGAAGAGCACAAATTTTCTCAGCAGTCACACATAGCTAAGCCAGAGGGGATAAAGTGGTCAGAAGTAAGGCAGCTGTGCTTTCATGCTGAGTCGTGTTCTCTATTCTGGGATTGTGTCCACTTCCCAGCATTCAACCCTTGAATATGACAGTCTACTCTTAACTGGCTCAGCGAGGCTACTTGGCCTTCATTAAGCTTGTTATGGTGAGTCAGGATGTTGAAAATGATGTTTTTTCACCTCCCTTCTCCTTTCTTTTTTTTTTTATTTTTTTTTTACCTTTTTTTAAAAAAAACAACTTTATTGTAGTTTAAAAATTATTTTTTTTTAATCAATTTCACTAGTAAGGGTTTTGTCATCCTTTGGTCCATCACTCAAAATGCGCAGGCATAAATGTGTCAATTTCATCAATTTCATTACATTAAAAGCTTCTTGAAATGGTCTATGCTTTTCCTGCTGACCTTTGACCCTGGCAACTCCCATCTAACCTCTGTACAACCCACTTTTCTCTGGTTTCAAATGAACCTGGACACACACACAAGGACGTACGCACGCATAGACACACGTATACATGACAAATGGCCTAAGAGAGGCAATCATTAGAGCAATGGAGGCTAAAAGAAAAGGGGGGATGGGCTACTTTCCCCTGTGGCTGTGAGGCTACCACTTTCCTCATGGTCACAGGGGTCAAGCACGAATTAAGACACATCATTTTCGTCAAGGGAGCAGCTCATTTAGTAGTGAGGAAGTGTCATGCTTTGTGACATACACACTATAGTTTCTGCTGCGCTATCCTTCTGTTGTAGCAATATTGACATTGCTGGCTAGCACCTCATTTAATTTCACACCGTTTAACTCATTGGCACACTTATGCATACAGCTGAGGACGTGGAAAAAACGTGATGAAATTTTAATGTCATCCTTTCAGAGTTGGAGCGGGAGCCCTCAGATGACCTGTTTGTCTAAACTCCAACCAAGTGTGTCCCCAACTGTCTAAATTCAGTGAACCTGGGATGATCTGTACCGTATGTGCACTGAGTCACATTTCACTATCATAAACAAGATGCGTGGGTGAGATGGTTCGAGAGCTTCTCATTTCGTGTCTAACGAGTATAAAACTGTTCCAGGCTCAAAGTGTGAGCATGTTTAAAGTCCAGGGAAGTCAGTATAAGCTGACATGAAGCCAACTTTTATCTAGTAAACTTTTACTGTCAGTTTGCCTGTTGAAGTCCGTTTGTCCAGCTGCTGCCCCCTCAGCTCATTTGTGCTGCTGAGAGACAGCTGGTTCTGACGCTGAACAGAGGTCGGAGTCATCGTGAGGGCAAGCATCACTGTCAGTGCTTCACTAGTCCCCTCTTTTTTTTCTTTCTTTACTTCTTGTCTTTATCTGCCTTTGTGATTACTTGTGATCAATCATCTAATCAGTAACCCTCCTGTTAATTTTTGTTTTCTTCCACTGGAATCCAGTTTTCTTCTGCTCCAGTTTAGGTTTTCTATCATAGTTTCTCCTTTTTCTTTTCTCTCTTCACTGGGAAGGAACATTGACTTCATTACCTCCTCATCTATTCTGTCCTTTGTCATCTTGCCTCTGAGCCGTAAATCAATCTTAGCATCATGTCAAAGTTGCATCTAAAGGACAGAGGAGCGAGGACGATTGGTGGAAAAGCTATAATTGAGGAAGCGTAGGTGTATCATAGAAGTGTTTTTTTTACCTGTGACACAAGAAAAAAGTTTTTTTTTTAATTAACTGTTTCGTCAGACTTTTTTTTCCATTTAAGGTACTTTTCCTTCTTCTTCTTTTTCCTTCTTCTTCTTCTAGGGTTACCATAGAAGAAGCGGGTTATCTGCCTCCATCTCAGTCTATCACTAGCGTCCTCTTCTGTCACACCAAATCTTTGCATGTCCTCCTTCACTATATCAATCAATCTCCTCTGAGGTTTTCCTGTTTTTGTTCTGCCATGCAGCTTTACTTTAACATCCTTTGTTCCTGTGGCTACAATGTAGCTTGCCGTCACCAGTGTGTGAATGTGTGTGTGAATGGGTGGATGACTGAACGTGTAAAGCGCTTTGAGGTCCTTAGGGACCAAGTAAAGCACTATACAAATGCAGGCCATTTACCATTTTTTTTCCAATATATCCATTACCCCTCTTCTGCATATTAAAGACATGTGTTTCACACAAACTTCACTGTACTCTACTGTGGCTTTAAGTCCGGTGAAGCAGGCTAAATGTCATATACCCAAGAGCAATGTGGGGTTCTGCATTTCCCATAACTCACAAACTTGTCTGGCGACATTGCTAAAACAGATCAGTAGTACTCAAACTACTCAGACTAGAAATTGGGCAGAAAAAAAGGGCTTCAATAACTGCCTGTCATAAAATAACTGCCCAGTGAGACAAGTTTAAGAGCCAAAAGTCTTGCAGTCCCAGCAGGTCTCACACTTGGCTCAGTTGCATGTGGTTCCTCCTTCTCGTGGCCTTGCAGGCAACAGGCTGCGTGGCATTGCACAGCTCACTGACCCTTTTTAGATGGTTTCTCCCTTTTTGTTTTCACAACCGTTTTCACCATTTCTTTTATTATAGCAATGGGATCAGGAAAAAAATCTGATAAGAGGAGAATGTTTGTTTATGGATGTAACTAATCAGAACACTATTTTTACTTTTAGCAGTTACTCTGGTGATTTTTAAATAAAAATCAGACTGCTTACAAAAAAGGCAGAATGAGACATTAGCAGTTCGTTTTATTACATGATGCTACAATCTATCATAAAAAGGGTCTAAGGAGCAGCAGACACAAAAGGGAAATGGTCACTTTAATTCCCAGCTACCCAGCTACTGTAGTTAGATCATTTCTCAGGACCATATTTTATTGTTTATTGCCCTTACACAAAAAAGCTCTAAACTCACCCTGCAACTTTCAATGCTTCACACTTAGATTTAATTCAAATATACTGTTCACTAAAAAAAGTGATAATTTTTCCAAAGGATAAATAATTATGAGTGAAATCATGCTTTGAAGATGACATTTTGTGTAGCTGTTCAAGACTAAGTTTAACTCTTGTTGAAAAAAATGGACCAATAAGTCTACTTTATAGAGCACAGCTACAGTACACACATCCACACATCCACACATGCTCACGGTTTCCCCATTAGTCACCTGTTGCTATGCCCCACCCCTTCTTCCTTATGGACAGCTGGGCTCACAAACTCTGCTTAATGTGCTCAGTGAACCATGCTTTGACCGAAGCATTGAGTCCATGCAGTCATAAATCCTACAAGTAAAATCTAAATCATCTTGAAGGCTGCTTCCAGGTGATTATAGCATATTGTCTTATTTTTAAATTAATTCATTAGGATGTGTGAACATGTACATGTACAATGACAATAAAGGACTATTCTATTCTATTCTAGTCATGTGTGCTGACCCTCTATCATTATCTGCTATCAGCGACTAGCAGCTGTTGCTCTAATGGAAACCAAGAAACCAGTAACTTTAAAATGGTGATAGCTATCTTGGAGGGCATTCATTTTCCTTCCAACTGTTTAGACATACTGAATTCATGGACAAAGAAGGCATCACTTAAAGTAGATCTCATAGCATATTACTGACTGTACTGATGTGTTAAAATGCAACAAGGCTGATAAATAAGTAAATAATAAAATGAATAATTTATTTTCGACTTGAACAACGAAATCTCAGATGTGTTCTGATGTGTTTTGAAGTTACATAAATCTAAAGCCTAATAAATGCTCATCTGTCTCTGTCTTGCTCTTTTATGTCTTTCTTCTCTTTCTGTCCTTTTTCACATCAGAAGAATACATTAACCAGCATCTCACCCCTGAGGATGTGATACTCTCATGCTGCCAACTTTGAATAGGTCTTGCCTTAATGCACAGCTCTTGTGGAGTAGAGTAATGCATTATCTTGTCTAACACTTATTATATCACGCTTCCCCTCCAGTGGATCTATATAGATAATCTAGCATAGGTATTGATATAGTAAACAATAAAGGCCAGCTTAGGTCATATGATTGCAATGGCTGCATTCAAAATGAATAAAATTTTTTTTAGACTTTCTATTAGCCAAGGAATGATCAGCTACTTTCTTTTTCTGTTCACAGGATAAAGGAATGGGTGGACCAAATGCAAAAAGATTTGATCGCTTTAACAGACACAGCCACTGGCATGAAGGACCTAATAGAGGTAAGACTGCCTGTCATGCATATATGCCAAGTAAGATTTCAAATGTGAACTGAAATATGAGTGAGTTCTCCTTATTTGTGGATAAAGGGGTGCAACGCTCTTGGTTGATGTTTTTGATCAGAGCAAAGATTTAAGAGCATCCACACAGCCAACACAAAGAGTCCTACTAATTCTCTGCCTGCTTTTTTTGATGGGTGATGGAGGCGACACATACGTTTGTGAATGCAGTGACTCAAGAACAAAGCGACAAATACATTTTCAAATTCATACAATACTTGTATCTACTAAACATCTCAGATGAGTTCAAATCTCAGTGATCTCAACCTCAAAGTCAAGGCCAAATTTTCTGAAAATCTTGTGCCATAGCTACTATGTTCATCCCACAATATAGATTGAATGGGGGTTAACCCAGACTAATAAATATCTAACAAAACTGAAGTTTTTCATGTCTCACACATAGGTATCATATACCTATCATACACCCCAAATACCAGTACTGACACTGTGCTTAATAAATCGTTATTGTTTTTACAGTTTGCACCAACTGTGCACAAACGATTTCTATAAATAAATTTATATCTATTCAAATCCATATTTACAGGACGAGAACAAAATATTATGTGTAATTTCTGTCACTTAATACTCTTAGTCTCATTAGCTCTCTCTGCACGACCTCAGGTGTCACAACACACCACCAGTCTTCATATAGTAGTCTCTCATTAGACATAACGCTGCATCTGCATCATTTCATTTCACCAGCACACTGTACACACTCACATGAGATTAACTTCACTTCTCTACTGTGATAGCTACAGCTCCTACACACACGCAGACACTTAAACACTCAAAAACACAAACATATGAGAAGGAGAAGAAGCTTTTTAGATCCACATTGATTGATATAATGCATGTGCTACTTTGGATCCATTTGAGAATAAAAGCATTCAGCCTTAAAACATGGCAAAAATCATTACAAAACCTATTTTCATTTGATGTTCTGGGATGGCGTATCACTCCAAACAAGAATTAAATGTATTTGGAAGTCTTATGGGCAGCTGAATGAGATTAATGTGCAAAACAGGGGGAGTTGAAAAGGGGTGTTACAATGCTGCCTGAACAGTTATGCTGACTCATGTAAATTACAACCTCAAATGCTGGTATCAGCTTATGCACATGAGTGCGGAAATTTCATTTTCAGCTTTCAAAACACCCCAAAGCTATAGTAATCACTAGCATTAATATGTTCAATTCAAATGTATTTATACATACACAAATTCCAAATATAAAACAATGTATTAGTACAATCCGAATCAAACATTTAATAGTATCATTTTTAATACCAGTCTTTCACTGAGTGCCTACATGAACATGCCTCAGCTCTGTGTTTTGAATGTTGGACAGTGAAATCTCTTTAGGCTTCTAAATAATTGGCTGTTTGGCATTTGTGCTTTTTTATTACTCTTGCTGGGACATATTCCATAGCAGAGTAAATGGTACAGTTACATAAGGCTTTTTTCTTTTCTAAATCACTGTGCTTTGGTCAGTGAGGCTGATGAAATATAGAAGATGGGCAATAATGCAGAGTAACGTTCTTAATTTTAGTTACACTACATCTGTCTGTGAATAGAAAATAGACAGATGTTTCTGACCCAGAATTTTTATTGTGACTGTCTTAGATATATCATAAACACAGAAAGCACTTCAGAGTGGAGTCCAACAATGCGCAGGAGCTGGTGGCAACGGCTGCTGGGAACATAGAGAGACTGCTGGCTAACCGCTCCGAAGCCCTAAAGGTAAGTTTAATCTTATGATCTTTTGGCAATTTATAGGAAATCAGTTAAGTGGAAGAGAAGGTTTTCCCTTGCGTCTTTTGTCATGGTGACATAATTCTTAAGATGGAATCATAAAATGCAAAATGTACACTGTTTGCAAAATTAGGTACAGCTTGACTTCTTGCACAGCGGCCCAGGAAAACACACAGAAACAGTCTGTTTATCTTCATTTCTCTTTGGGACAGCCTCTGGAACAACATCACAGCTGATCTATTATAATCAAACATCCTCCACCCACAATACTTGATTCAGAGTTAGCAGTCTGTGTTGGTACACGGTCACGAATGACCCTGTTTAGTTTCAACTTTGAGAAAAGCTTTGTCTTTCTGACTTCTGATGCCTGTTCTGCCCTCATACCTAACCTATACTGGCTGGTTTTATGGCTCATTTGTCTGAGCCCAACAGACAGAAGTGTTCCTGAACCGTGTTCACCTCACGCAGGTTATTGAAAGGCTGCGAGGACAATTCAGAGGCCTTGGAAGAGGAAAAAAGAAGAAGCACAAAAGCATTTTTCAGTCCATGACAGTAATTAGTTTGACTTTTTAATAAAACTCATCTATTTAAACTGTTATACATCTTAGACCTAACTGTTGCTAGGGTTCGTTTGCCAGTTATTGAAGTGGACCTTTTCATTGTATTTTTGTCTTGTGAAGCATTTAAAATTCACTTATCTCATATATAATGTTTGACTGTGTCAATTCTGCAGCATGTTAAAGTGTTTTTACAAGTTGCTATATTAGTGGAGTGATCTCAGATGCATCTATACAATTTATATCCACATACTAACCAGACTAGCAAGAAATAGTTGAAAACTTTACTTTCTTGTCTAAATATGGTCAATTGTGGCTCAGGAAAAACACAACAAAACAAACAAACAAAAAAACATAGACAGTATAAAAGATGAACATAGCTGCCATGACCTTACCCAATGTTCTTGGACTCTATTCCCAAGCATGACAGAAGTTATGCTGGACCTTTGAGAGTTACGTTACATGGATGGAAGGGTGGCGTGCTACATTATCGGCTAGTACTTGCTATCTTAGTTAGCATGCTACATTCCTAAACAAAACAGTTCCAATACAAATACACATACATTATCTACGTTGTAGGAGACTAGTAAAATACTAGAATGTCTAAGGAGTTTGGAAAGAAGGCAACTGGACTTCTTTAAGTTTCTTGGAGATGTTTTACTCTCGTTCGAGAAGTAAAACCAAATGGTGTTTAAACCCTAGTCTGGATTATCCCTTAGGAGCCAAGGTGTAAAAATGGTTTCAGGTGAAACCATTGTGAGACCTTGCCTGGCCTTATCATGTGATCTATTAAGGTCACCTGACACACGATGTGAGTTGGGGTTGAGGCATCTGGGAAGGGATCTCAAAACTGCACTGGCAGCACAGCTTTCCAAACTTTCCAAGCTTCTTAGACTATCATGACCTGGATGACTAAATACTAGAATATCATTGAATAAAAGTGAAGCACAAACGTCTCGGATGGCCTTTACCAGACAACAAACTATATTGTTAGTAAGATAATCCATTAAAAACGCTCTAAAAGGCTCCAAGAGCACTCACAGTAACTTGAAGTTCAGTTTAATGATTCAGGATAGTGGAAGTAAGGCCTGATCGGCCTCACTATATCTGGTCTCCTGCCAGTCAGAGCCGGCACGCCCTAACTGAGATGAGTTATTAGAATGTGAAACTCGCTCTAAAGTTAAGTACTTCAATGCAGGAGTCTGTTGGGATTGACTCAAGTGGCACCTAGAGGAACTGCAACTTCTGTCACTTCTATAACGTCTTTTTTTTTTCCAACTCTCGAATTTTGGGGGCAAAAAAGATGATAACTAGGATTCTAATATGGTTCTGATTGCTCCTCTACCACTGCTGTGATACTCTCTGGAAGTCTGTGGTTTTGAAATGCTTCATAAGCAGCTCAATGCTCAATAGATATGCATTAATGATTCCTCTATCATCTGCATTTGTCCTGGATCAAAATTTGTATAGCCTTTGCTGTGCTTTGTATTTTGTACTGTATAAAAAAATGATAACGCTCACTTAACCGAGGTCTTGACCAGTATTATTATTTTCTCTTGGACACACTTGTTTTTTTTTATTTTCAAAGGACAGCATGTGAAATTGATCCAACCTTTCCCTGTACCTTTAAATTACATTTAACAGTATCTCACCAACTAAATTAGGACCTTGGGATGCTACCAGCCTCGATCAATTTGACTCAAAGGGCCCGGAATATCCAATTAAGGCTGACAGCTTGTTGCCATAGCTACAATCTAATTGATTAACCCATCATATCTGCCAGGCATTTTGTTTTTCTTACATCTTCATAATTGTCAAGGGATTAGGGACAATTAGCTTTCGGTGTTGTTGCTTCACACCTGGGGAGACTAAATACGACTTATCTGTGAGTTGATGACAGTGGAATATAGATGTTGCACTACAGACTGTGTTCTAACATTTCATCAGCACCATCTGCTGTGTGTTTCACCTGTGGAAGTTAGTGCCAGTTGTTTAGTCTTTGCTGGAAGCAAAAAATGAAAGAGAGATGATATAAGTGTAAAAAAAACAAACACCATATGCTCCTGTTTTAATGTCAGTGCATTAGCATTGAAGAATATAGGTTGTGGTGGTGATGTATTTTGTGTAATGAAGTTGAACGGAGTCAACTTTATGGCAGTCAATTTATCTAAAGGACCATAAATTGTTACAGGGACTACTTAGCTAAATAATGAATGGAAATCGAAGTCAAGCATCTGTAATGTTTTGACCTGGCCTACGCTAATATAATAGCTCTCTATGAGGTAAAAAGCACTCCTCTCTGACTTTACACTCCTTTACTATCCTCTGTCGTTTTTCCCATATCATCATCCCTCATATCTTTTTGTTTTTATCTTTAAGTCCTCACTTTTTCTCTGTCTTTGTTCTGTTGAAAGGCTGATTGCGCACATCATAACTGAACATGTGAAGGAGCAGAGCTTTTTTTGTCTGGGAGAAAGGAAAGAACTGAATTGTCTGATCTTTGAGAAACACAGATGATAAGGAAGTGGTAGGAAGTCCATGAGTGCTCTATATGCTACACTTCCTTTGAGGCCCTAAACAAGAGACTAGAAGCCTAATGGATCTTGGCATCTCAGCAACAGGCAGCACTCTTTCTTTGTTCACACAGCACAGTTTGAACCTTCAAAGCTATTAAACTGACACACAGCCCTGCTATAAACAACCACGCACATGCAGGAATAAACGAGGAAACACACACAGATATGTAAAAGTAGGGTTTCAACTCCACGTGAGTCATTCTGATTTAATTTCAGGTATTTTGTGATCAGATTCAGGTATTCAGACCCTTTAAGATCAAAACGGTGCAGTAAGAATATTTCCACTTCTTAGAGTAATTCACATGATTTTTAAATTTGAAAGCTGAGACAGTATTAAACTGTAAATTTTTAAAACCAACCAAAATCATGTATATTGTAAAGTTTAGGCAATGCTGCGCCTGAACTAAGCAGTGGCATTTCTCTTTACACTGACCAAACTGCTCTCCTGGGCGGTGCTTTGCAAATGTCCAATTACTTTTGTATACGTGTCCCTCAGTTTATATGTGACTGATATCAATTGTCAGTGAACACAGTCAATCTTGCTCCAATCTTTTTCTTTTATTGTACAGACTATATACATTTGCCTTTTTTAAACATCACTTTTTGCTCATCTGTTTCAACCGTTCCAAGTTAATGTTTCCAAAGTGCTGATGATCTGACTGGGGACATGGTTTTGTCTCTTTACAGCTCATGGGTGATCAAAGAATTTGCCTCTTTTATGTCATGCCACAGTATTTTGTATTCAGTATGTGTCGTTCTTAAAAGGATGTAAAGTGAAACTGAAATTCCCAGCAGGAAAGAAACCACCACGGTACTGACAGAGAAATCCTGAAAAGTTGTCATCGACAGCAACTGTACGGTAGCTAGATTTTTTTTTTTTGGTTATTTTTGAGGAAGGTATTGATATGTTTAGCTCTGTGTGTGTGTGTGTGTGTGTGTGTGTGTGTGTGTGTGTGTGTGTGTGTGTGTGTGTGTGTGTGTGCGCGCGTGTATGGCCGAGATGAGAGGGTTTTCTTCCTGATCTCTATATGACTCAGATTCTTTAGGCAGCTGCTGTTGTGGCTTAGCTTCACTGCTTCACACACAGGCTAAGCTCCACTTGTGACCATCTGCGTGCTCTCACATGCATAAGTGCATCGCCATCCTTACCTTTTCTTATCCAAAATCAGCTTTCTCTTGACCTTTTCCTCTTTCTTACTCTCTGCTGTGATCACACATTTTATCTTTCATGCCAGCCCTGTTCTTTCTTCCGCCTCAAACCCTGCTAAATTCTTTTGCCATCACTTCATCCTGATTCTGTGTCACTTTTCATTCCCAATTTCCCATTTTAGCCTTGCCCTCTGCTCCTGTGTTAGCCCTATCTGTCCTTTTATATATCTTCCTGTTGAATATAGAAGTATGTGGTATCCTTCCGCATTACAGTGTGTTAAAAAGAACTAGCAAAAATAGTTTCCCTGTTGAATTTATGTTAAATTACAAAACTATAACTACCTGAAACTAAACATTTTTCTAGTTGAGTAACATTATTTGATTTGGTAATCTGCATTTGCCATGTTTTCTCTTCTGATTAACTGGCATATAAGTAGAAGGTATCCAATCATCTGGTTGTGTCAGTCATGTGAGCCAGTGTTTTAGCAGAAGTTGAGGTTTTACATTGTGGATGTTCACATTAATTTCTTCCAGGGTGATGCTGCAAGTGTCCATCAGCTGCTAAAACAAGTACCTCATCCATGTTAAGAAGGTCTGTTAAGGAAGAAAGTGGCAGAGCCTCACCAATATAGGATTTTTAACTTCATTTTTTTCCCCCTTAATGCACAAAACATGTTATCTGTGCTTATTTATGTTATCTTTCTTT